GAGCAATTTATGGAGCACTTGCATAAGATCACACAGTCAGAGACAAACCGGGAAGCCAACCGAGCTGACACTGGTGCCCACGCTCCCAGCCACTCAGCTCCTCTGACTGGCGAGAGGCATCACAGAGATGAAGAGATGGAGGAAGGCTTCAAAGCACACACTGCTTGTAAACCCATGACCCCAGGCAAGCCCTTCTTCCTGTCTCCATTCCCTTAATATGGGGTAACAATGGTATCTACCTCTCTGCTTGGGTTTTCTGAGGATTCAAAGAACTGTGTCTAAAGCAAGCTCTTGAAACAACATGTACCACGTAATAAATGCTTCATTTAATGTTTTTCCAATATGATGATTAAGAAGACTTTAATGCTGGAGCCCAGGAAACAGAAGAGAACCAGAGAGGGGGTAGACTTTCAGAAAGAAGTGTCTGGACATACGGTAAAATGATGAGCCTATAGCTCCTGAGAACTCCACATCCCAGTGACCACAGAGGCTAAAAGAAACGGTGCACCATCAACTGGACAAAACCCTGGACCCCATATGCCACAGGGGGAAACAACAGTGCCCAATAGTGTAAGGTATCACACTACAGTTGACCTACAGTGTGAAACCCACCAGCCCCTCCATGAGCACACAGTGAAGTCCTTTAAGGTTGCTAATACACCGTATGCTCCGGCATTCCAGGGAAAGAGTGGAGGACCGGCAAACGCCCCCAGTGCCACCTACCCGCCTGTTCAGCCTTGGAAGAGAAGAGCCTCCTTCACTGTCTGATGGAGCCTAGACAGTGACTAAGGCTGGCTAGCAAGGGCACTGGCTGGCAAGCGGGAGGATTCCGGCAGGAAAGCTCTCCAGATGTGCTCACTCAGTTCCACACTGAGCAGGACTTGCCAGTTCTAGCTGATCATAGCTGGTCATAGGGAAGGACAGGGACGCTGGGCAAAGGGGTGTCTTCCTTCTTGACCACACTGCTCAACAGTGTGAAAACAGAAACATAACTGTGGGCAGAAGTGTAGTATAAAACTTGTATTTAAATCGAGCTTTGGGACAAAGACCTCATCTATTTTAAGGTTCTGACCTGAAGATACTCAAGAGAAATGAAAATATGACACTACTTCTACAGTAGAGCTGGCCTGTAAGTAGGAAAACTACTCATGTCATACTTGAAGTACATCTGTGAGCACAGGTTATATTCCATGTTCAGTACTATGTGGCAGACACACTGCCTATCACTTATCTGGACTCCCTTCCTTCCTAAACACCACATTCCAACTCTTTATTGCTACAATGTTCCCAACTGGGTGTTGAAAGTCTGGCACAGTGGGAGAGCACTTGCCTACCACATGTGAGGCCCTGGATTCAATTCCCAGCAGCACACATGTACATAAAAGGTAATCAGCTTCCTCTCCAGCCTTAAGTGGTCATGTGACCATTCTGATAGCTATGAAAGACTGGAATAGGATTCACGGGGAACTTATTTTTACGTGCCTTGGTGTTTTGCCTGCATGTATGTCTGTGTGAGGGTACTGGATACCCTGGAAATAGAGTTACAGAGAGCTGCCATGTGGGTGCTAGAGACTGATCCTGGGTCCTCTGGAAGAGCAGCCGGTGCTCTTAACCACTGAGCCATCTCTCCAGTCCCTCAGAGAACCTTCTAAAGAGGAGTCTTGGCTGTCACTGGGTATGATATTAAGGCTGTTTTCCCAGCCTGACACAGGAAGAACCTGGGACAGAACAGCCATCCGCACTGAGGCACCACAGCACAGGCTATACCACATATACGCCACATGAGGCCGGGATGCCAGAAGCCCCTGGACTGCCCAACCTCACTCTTATACAAGAGAAAACTAAAACTCCCAGTTGCCTAACCCAATGAGTTGCCTCTACATGTTGTAAAATTTGAAGAAAAAAAAACAAAACAAAACTTTAGCTAAGTTGTTTGACTGGACAGGTACCATGAAGGAGGTAGGAGTTCATCTCATGTAGTCTAACACACTGTGATCACGTAGAATAAAACACTTGTATGCTGATGGCTCTCCCCCACCAACACAGGATATTAATAAATTACATCATGAGAACACTGTGGGCCTACTCCGAAGTGTGCTGAGAGTCTTGGTGTGTTCTCTGCATTGCCCTGGAGAAAAAGTCTGGGAAAATGTATAAAACAGCAGCTAAGCACTTGGGTCAAATACTGTTCACCAAGCGGCTGGGTGTCACAAATGAGTTTAGCATCTCCGAGTCTCGGTTTCCACAAGTTACAAATGAAATAGCAGCTCCTGCCTCAAAGGTGGTAGTACATATTAAAATGAGCTGATGCTTGCACAATACCCAGCCCCGCGCCTGAGACTGTGAATATTCATTCACCAGGCATCTATTCATATCATGGTAAAGCTGTCGGAGAAGGAGCCAAACGTTAGTATTAAAAGCCAGACGGGTGTGTTTCTCCAGCACAGTACATGCTGGCTTTCTTGACATGACTCTGTAATAGTGACATAAGCACAGGCTGTGGATGTGGCTGATGATCGATGGTGCTTTTGACAGTGCTGCTGTCACACTCACAGTCACAGAACAGCCAGAGAGGCAACATCTACATGACAAGCTGCTTTTCCTGGGCATGTAGTTTTAAAGAGGGAGCCGGGTGGAGAGACTAGCAGAGGCAGCTAAAAACAGCCCGCTAAGCAAACAAGTGTCAACTGTTTATTACAAGGTCAGTACCTGTGCAACGTGATAGCAAGAAACCGTCACAGAATATATCATGCAAGCTGGAAGAACATGGCGTCCGGCCACTCAAGAGTTCTGGCAAATATTTCCACCTTCTACTTATTTACTTATTTATTTATTTAAAGATTCTAACCCAAAGCATCTAGGTCTTCCTAGGATGCTGCCAAGTGCATTTAGTGCATGTAACCTAAAATTGAGTGAGCATCCAGAATCTGAGCCACCCACAGCTGCTCTTTCAGGGGAGCACAAAAGTTTTTCTAGATTAGAACAGCCTCAACCAAGCCATAAGGCCAAACCCCAAAATGTATCTTAATATTTCTTCCTTTTAGATCAATGATAATAATAATATGATGATGAGAATTAACATTTTTCTCCCATCTAAGAGAAGATGAAGGAAAAAAGGAAGGAGAGAGAGGTCTGTCTGTCATCTGACGTCTGCCTGTCTATCTGTCTCCGGTGTGCCTGTCACCATTTTTCTGTTACCTTATCAAATCTGGCAGAGCCACAGGAAAGCCAGCGTGATCCTGTCAGCCCTTCATGAGATTAGAACAGTACCATACAACAGAGAGGCCATGAATGTGAGCCACAAGCCTGAGCCGTGTTACTGAAAACTGTAGAGGCCGTAATTAACCAAATAAAAAGTAAACGGCTGGAGTTCATTTTAGTAGTAAATTTTATTCAAAATACCATCACATCGATAGGTAATAAGTATGAAAATTGTTAATATTTTCTACTCCTTCTTCATACCGAGTCTTCAAACACCTTGTGCGTTGTATACCTAGTACCTGGCAATTACGCCCAGCCACACATCAAGGACTTGAGAGCAAATGTAGCTACTGGCTCAGCAGGCTCTGAGGACCCCTCAGTAGTGGTGGTACAGTCAAACATGCCATCTGCTTCATCCCAGCAAGCTAGCCGGAGCACCTGGTACTGTCCTCGCTACAAGTTACACTTCAAGTTAAGGGAATGAGCTTAAAATAACTTAAGTCTACTGCTGCTAACCCGGCCAGAGTCACCAAGGCCTATCTATGTCTTCATCCTTTTCACCATGGCTTTACTTTGAGAGTCCTGGAAAGTCTGGCTGATAGAAAAACTACTTTCTAAGACAGTATTCTGTGTTTTCCTCCAGAGAAGCCAAGGATAATCGGACATACACCACACACTTCACTCCTGGGACAGCCCCTTTCAGTGACCTATATAAGACACCGGCTGGAGAAATGACAGGATGGGGTTTCCATTGTGCCACTGCCATGGGTAGGGCAGTTTGAAAGATGACCTGAACACAGCAGCTTCACCTACTTGTCATGTCTACTGAGATAAACAAAGGCAAAGGCAGAGGGCTTAGCCAGGTGTGAAGCACACTACCAACTCTAGTTACCTACTCTTCACCTGGAAGACCAATTTGGGGGGTGAAGGGGGGGTTTGGATAACTTGAAACAGATGTTGAAGTGAGGAGGTGGGACCCCTGAGACTCTAAGGTTGATTTCAGTAAACTTTGTACTACTGGAAGAGGACAAAGAGAGTTGAGTGCCTCTGGCAACTGTCCCTAGCAATCATGAGAGAGACAAGATAAAGTAACAGGGACCCTTCCAACTCCTGCCATACCGCCCAGCACCCACTGAGTTTCCTCTTCCCGAGCACTGTACAGAACCGGACTGTGTCCCAGACACTCAGCTCCCTCACAGTGCTTTACTGGCCTCAAAATGCTGCGCTCTTGGGGGTCCTGGCGCCTCCAGAGCTGAGTCCCTGCCTCTGCGGGAGTCCTGGCGCTGAGGTTCTCGCTGGCGCGAAAGCCAGTTCGCCCTCTCCAACCCAAACAAACAGGCTGGGCTGGCCGCAGGAGTCTTCATCTACCTGCCCAACTGCTGGGTCACGCCCGCAGCATGCTCGGAGCCCGCAGCCTTTACTAGATCCAGGGGCAGTCACCCACACAAAGACGCCTTGTGCCTCTGCGCTCGGCGACAAGCAGCAAGAGGCGGGCACGGTACCCGAACAGGCGTCAAATCCCTAGTCCCACACTCCCAGCCGGTCTTCCACGGAAAGGCCATCCCATAGCTCCCTGGCTTAAATATGGGTGTCCCGTCGGCTGCATACAACGCGCGCACCCCCACCAAAAGATAGGAGCAGGCGCACCAGAAAGGGGCGCACGAGCGACTGAGAAGTTTGCTTTGTCGCCGGCAGGAGGGGCCGAGCACCCCAGTGCCCAACTCTTGGCCCGCCCCATCTCCCGGGCTGCAGGACCCGGGCGGGGGTGGGGGGGGGGGGGTCCTTCACCGCTCGCTCACCTCTAGTCCAGTCCACCACTTGTTTGGGGCTCCACTTGGTCACGGGCTCCATGGTAAGCTGCTTCGCCGCCCTTGGGCTGGGGAGTCGACGGCGGAGTCCTGAAGCCTGCGCCCGCGGTTGTCCCCTGTGCGTCCCGGGCGTCCGATCAAGCCTGCATGGCCGCAGTCAGCCGGCCATCGCGCAGCGGCTCAGAGAAGGGAGCGCGGCCCTGGGTCCCTGCGCACGGGACAGCTGTGTCCGGTACGGCTGCTCCCCGCAGCCACCACCGTCCAGCTGCGGTTCCCCGCACGCCGCTCGCTGATACAGCGGCTTCTCCGCGACCACCGCAACTGCGAGCGCAAGGTTGCAACCTCAGACCCCAGGCCGGGGCTGCTCTGGCGGGGGATTCTCCTGGCCGGGACCTTCTAGATCGGCTGGCCCTCTGCGGCTCTTGCGAGCGGTGTCCGCCTCCGAGGTCCCCACTCCGCGTGCGCCGGCGCCTCGAGCCTTCCCGCCAGCCGGTCCCACCTCCTGCGCCACCGTCGCGGGCCGCCCGGGCGGGGAAGAACGCGGAGCGTGCGCGCTCGGGTCGCAAAGTTTCTACTCCGCTCGCCGCTCCCGGAATAAGAGAGGGGGCGGGGCGGAGCGGGAGCAACACGTGGGAGGGGGCGGGGCCGAGAGGAAGCAACACGTGGGAGGGGCGGGGCCTAGATGACGCGGACCCCGGTGGCTTTCCCTCCTGCATCCCAGCTCGGGACTCCTGGGCTCTACTTTTCTTTTTCAAGGGATGGGCTAGAGCCCCTGCCTGAGCCCTGGAGAGCCGCTTGGCTCCGAAGAGGTCCCAGCTTAGTGGCAGCCGAACGAGCTGAATCCTGTAAACAGTTTTGTTCTTTCTTTGTTGGCTTGAGATGTGTCTGTTTTAGTTTTAAAAGCTTCGAGTCTCAATCTCGCGCAGCCAATCAGCGGTCTTCCTTTTAAGTTTCCCAAAGTAGGCCAGTTGCGTGTGTTTTGGACAAAAGGATGGCTGTGTACCACTGCTCTCCAGGCCGCTACAGTGTATCAACTCCTCGGTTTAATAACACCAGAGTGGCAGCTCCTCGAGTTGTGTTTTGCCATAATGTAATAGTCATATTTTCTAAATGACCTAACCCTTGATTCAGATTAGTCATTAACCCTGAGGCGAAATTTGTCAGCGAGCCAAAAAGAAAAGAAAAAAAGAGAACCTTGCCCAGTTTCAGCCTCTGACAAGGGGAGGAAAACCCTTTCCGCACTACAAGCCTCAATTTGGAAGCAGAGGACTGAGGAAAACCCTATAACCGGTGTTTACCGCCCTCCCGGCCTCCCTGCTTCACCTCCCACACACATGCAGACACTCTTTTGGCCCCTAGTGAGTCTTCTTTCAATTATAGTTATTGATTTCCATCTTCCCCTGGGCGACTATTAACCCTATCCAAGGAAGAAGCTGCTTGGTATTTTGGGTATATTGAGCTGGATTTGTTCTTCCTCTTCCAACTACTTAGCTTCCGGTTTAAAAAAGTAGTTGGTGTTTATTCATTCAGTAAATACCCGCAGTTGCTTCCCCTGTTCCAAGCACTGTGTTCCTATTTGCTCTGTTAGGATAGATGCCCTTTATTACACGTGAGAATCACCGCTAGCACCCAGCTATCTGTTGTATAGTGAGTGTTCTGGGTGTATACCGTACTATCTGCCTTAGCCCTCAGGTGGTGCAGTTGCATATGCAACAGAGACGTACAACTATCAAAAATAGCGATTTTTTTAAACCAAAAGTAATTACCCAATCCAGAAACTTAACAAAGGCCATGAGAAGATTCCCGGTAGAGTAGTTGCCCTCTTTTTAAGAAATGATCTTTGACACCTGTCTTTCCTTAACCATCTTTCTGGCCTCCAGAGTGCAGAACCATCTTGACCTTTGGGAACTGTGAATACAGTTTCAAAAATAGCTATATGATTGAAACATTAAAAGCTGGAATTCCAGAGTCCAGTTTGCCGAATTTCATCCCACAGATAACACAATCTACACTTTCGGCACATAAACAAAATATGCAAAGAAAGCCAAGTTAAAATCTCCAACCCGAAAGACCAATTAACTATCTAAATGAATTAGCGATGTGTTTACTCTTCCAGTCCTGCAGGCTAATTACTATGTAAATAAGGCCTTCTACCTTAATTATAGCTGTTAGCATGTGAAAGTTCTAAGGTGTGCTGACTGCCAGCCGAAATGCAAACTTTACATAGAAAGTTTGGCACATCAAAGAGGAAGGATTTTAGATAAGCAGCTACGGAAATGGAAGCGTATGCAAAAACGATCATTTATACACTTGCCAGTTTTCTTCCTGCTTGTCCCTGGTGGCCTTGTTGGGTGGTACCCACACTCTTCAGCAGGAGTACCCTTCCTCCTTTCCGCCTTGACGCTTGCCAGGGTTCGTCCCACATAACTGGGAACTGAACAAACCCTTTGATTGAATTTGATATGTTACAGTGTAGATACTAGAGCCCATTCATCTGCATTTCCCTCTCCTCTCCTTTTCTCTTCGAGCCTCCTGGACTATTTAGGTCCTTTATTCAATCAACAAAATATGTTGAAAGTGCTCATACTGTTCTGAACTGAGTACGAAGAAGATTAAGAATCTCACTCTCGGACAGCATGACACTTTACCAGGAAGGGTCTTTCTTCTGTCGCCTTTAGGCAGAAGACAAAGACCAAGAGGCTACAGAGCAACCCGGACCAATGAGTTTGGGGATCAATTTCACATTAATAATTTGAGTCTCTTCAAAGTTTATTGGGTTTAGTTGAGAAGTAGGGCCTAAGCACTTTGGAGACAAAGTCATTACTATAACTACTGAATAACCACGTGCGTAAAAGACTCTGAGCCTTTTGCCAGTTCAAAAGACTTCCTATAAAGAGATAAATGTGAAGGTATTCAAAGGCCAGCTGCTCCAAATGCATTTCCTCTCAGCTGAGGTCCCTTCTTTTGATGGTTGTCTTTCTATCATGATGTTCCTTTTCCAAATCTGAAATTTAGAATCATTTCATCTTTCCCACATAGAAATTGACTCTTGTTGTCTTGTTTCTCTTTTAGCTTAAAAGACAGCAAATCATCCTGCCCAAGTTCCCCCAGAGAAGTATCCCAGAGTGGGACAAGTATTCTTATCTATGATGTCACCTGGCTGCAAAGCCATCCATCAAGGAAATTACCCAGGCTGTTGAGCTTGTCTCCGCTCAGCTCCAGTGGGCCTGGATTCTTCACACCACAGTAATGAAATTATCTCTCTAAATACACAAGCGTCCCATCAGATAATCCAGGTGGTAAAGTTCTCAAACATTTTTTTTCATTGAAATAAATGCAGCCTTATTTGCTTGAATTCTTTTGATCATTTGGGAATCTTAATGACATCATCCCCCAGACAGTAGGAGAGCTAATGCTGGGCTTTCTCTTCCTGACTCTCACCCGTATCTCACAGACCAACGTCAATAACATAAAAATTGCCTCATGTCACTTATTGGTCCTTATTATTATTTTATTTTTATTTATTTGGTTTGTGAAACTAGGGCCTCATACAAGTTAGCAAATACTTTACCATTAATCTCTATGTCCAGCCTTCTTGTGGTTATTTTTAGGCTGGGTCTGAGTAAATTGCCCAAGCTGACCTTGAACTTGGTGTTTAGCCCAGATAAACCATGAACTTGTGATCCTTTGCCTTGGGCTCCAAACTAGCAGGTCTTAGCAATGTAAACCACCAGGCTTGCTTTTCTTGATTTATTTTCCAGTGCTTAGAAAGGGACCCAGGGCCTTGCACAAGCCCAAGTTCATCCTCTGCCTCCACTATTTGAAGTCATGTTCAGAAGAGCCGATTCAAATAAAGAAACACTGACCACTGTCAATGAATTCTAAGGATCTAGAACAGTGATTCTCAACCTTCCTAAGGCTGTGACCCTCTAATACAGCTTCTCATGTGGTGGTGGTGACTCCCCCAACCATAACATTATTTTGTTGCTACTTCATAAATGTAATTTTGTTACTGTTATGAATTTTAATGTAAATATCCCATATTCAAGACATTTGATATGCAACCCCAAAGGAGTCAGAACCCAGTGTTGAGATGGTCTGATCTAGACACATATGTTGGAAGAGTTGCTACATGAAGCAACACAGTTATGCCTCTTACCCTCTGGTGCTAAAGCAGCTAACAGGAGCACATTGCATAGACAAGACGATGGGTCCTATCCCCCACCCCCACCCCTTGGATGCAAGATACTTTCTATTGCAGCTATCAGGTTGCAGAGTATCTAAAAAGAACAAATGCCATTCCCACCTGTTGTTCCCGCAGCTCACGAAGCTTCGTAGGTCTTGTGATCTCTCTGGACAAGTAAATATGACACCCATCGGTTCCAGGCTCAATGATCCTTGTGTCAAACACAAGTTTTATGTTGATGTTGACAGACAGAGGCAGAGGGTGAGAAAGCACAAGAACCACTGGAAATCTCTTTTTAAACTTCAATTAGTCCAAGTAAATCTTGAGCATTAGAAATAAAACACAGATTTGAATATTATAATTCGCTCATGTTAACGGGACAGACAGATAATTGTTTCTGTATTGCTTTATGATTTTTCTTATTTGATTTGGTTTAACAGAAATATTTTATAAAAACCATTTCAAGTCAAATAGATGTTGGGAATAGTGGCCCACTTTAATTCCAGCACTTGGAGGCAGAGCAGGTCCTGTTGCATTCAAGGCAAGAGCTTTACTGAAGGGATTTTCCAACCAGCTCCAGAACTTTGCATGTTTTTGTGGACTTTTTGTTTCAGCGCTGAGGATTGAGCACAAGGCCTTACACATGCTAGACATTTTTTTTTACTAAAATGTATCCCAGGTCTCCCCCCTCCTAATTAGAGTTTACGACAAAATAAAGATATGCAAATACCAGAACTATCCAGACTGCAATTATTGTGACTCAGACTTTGGTTATAAAATTTAGGATTTCACTTATATTAACATCAAATTTTTTAAAAACAATAGAAGTATTAAACACCGAGAGAAACTCATCCTCATCTTCAGTCATCAGATGTGACTTGCTTTTCGTTTGAGGGTCCAGCTTCCTTGTTAATTTTCAGCATCACCGGATGAGCTAAGAGACACTCTGAAAGCTGGCAAAGCTCCCTTGTGGATGTGTCTGTGAGATGTTTCTGGAAGAAATTAACATTAGAACCAGTAGACTATGCAGAGAGGCTTCCTCACCCACCAACCTATAAGAGAGGCTCCCTCATCAACCCCACCAGAGAGGCTTCCTCACTGACCCACCAGGAATCAAGAACAAGAAGGTAGAAGAAGGCTACATTTCCCTCAGTAATCCGTGGCTTCTCTCATCTCCTTCTCTTGGCATCCTTGTTAAACTGGTTGTCAGTTCATACCTAGAAAGGTCTCAGATGTCCACCATGCTGAATTTCCCACCAATGTGAAGGAAACTGTCTGTCCTGCCCGTCTCATTAGAAGGGGTAATATCTCCATGTAACCCACATAGTGTGAAGTTTATCTGATTATGTTTAAGACAATTTTCTCATTTCTTCGGGTACCACTGGGTTTTACAGTTATTTTTTGCAAAATG